CTTGCTTGAAAATACACTGGATACTTGACTGTAGAAGATTAAAAAAAATCATAATAATTCCTAATAATTCTAATATATATATACATATATATTAGAATTAAATATTAATAAATATAATCAAACATTAATCAAGTTCAATTAAATTTTTAAATAAATTATATATATATAAAAAAAAATCTTAAATGAATCATAATTGAATCTTAATAAAATCTTAAACAAATTTTAGACAAGTTCTGGTTAAATCCTAGAAAAATCCTAATCAAGTTCTAATTAAATCCTAATCAAATTCTAAACAAATTCTAATCAAATCCTAAACAAATTCTAGACAAATCTTAATAAAATCCTTGAAAAATTCTAATCAAATCCTAATCAAATATTACACAAATTCTAATAAAATTCTAAAAAAATCCTAAAAAACTTCTAATTAAATCCTAAAAAAATCTTAGGCCAATTCTAATAAAATACTAAATCTTAAATCTATCTTAAATCTTAAATAAATTCTTATTAAATCGTATAGAAGATAAAAATTTCTATAATTAATAACCAAACTATCAATTTTAATTCAAATTTTTCATACATCTGAACAACTAAGTTGGTAAAAAATTTAAAATTTTTTAAGAAGATCATTCTTATCAGCTAGAAGATAAATTCTAAAATCCACTTGGATATTAGCTAACCTCCTTCTCCAATCTTGATATCAATCTCTTCAAACCAAAATTTCTTAATTCTACCATTAAATACCTCTCAAAATTTACATATAGGTTGAAAATCAAGTCTACTATCTATACACATAAATTCCATTTCAATCCAACTAGCCTATTGTTAAAGATCATAGAAACCCTCATTAAGCCTTAACACCCTATTTCTGAGACCTCAACCCATTTGAACTTCAATCTAATTTTTCAATCATATTCAAATTTACTTCATGGAATTAAAAAAATTTAATCACAAACCTACATCTTATCATCTATAAATCTACTACCAAACTTATAAAATCCTCTTAAATGTAAATCCTTTCTATTATTTTACAAAATTAGATTCACCAAAAACAACCTTAACTTTGCAAAGCTCTTACAAATTCATTACAAAATTAAATTATCTAAAACCAATGCTCAAAAAAAACTTATAAAGTCTTCTTTCAAATTCTATTCTTAGATTTGTAAAAGAACTCTAGAATTATCGTAGGTGTATAGTTTTATGCCTTGAGATTTGTTTTTGATCCTAATTGGTAATTTTTCCTTTTTTCTATCATTTTTTTTGAGATACTTTTTGCTAAAATCAACTTTTTACTTCCTTGCACTTATGCCTATATTATTTATTTTTCTAATCTATCTTATTTTATCTTATTTATGGCCCTACAAAGTAAATAGAAGTTTATTTTATAAAAAGGTAATATTTGCACTTTTATTTTTACTACCTTTTGACTATTATATATATTTCTTAGATAATTTGCTATATTATTATGAAATAAGAACTTCTATAATATAATATTTTCTTCACTCTTTCACTAATTACGCATGTTATATTACAAAAACATGATTAACTTATTCACTAAGTTTCTAACTTGTTAATTATTTATAGATATATATATATATATATATATATATATATATATATATAAGTGAAATTGTGTCTTTGAAGCTTTTAAGAAGTTTACCTATAAGATATTATCAAATTAACCTATTATGACCTATTCATAATATTCATGTAATTATTGAAATAAATTTGTATATTTGTAGTACTTAAAGGTTGTAACAATCTCAATAGCTTGTTTGATAAGTCAATAAAAGATAGTTCTTAAATTAAAACTATTGATTGTTGATTTTTTATCTCTTTAGTACTACAAATACAAAAAAAGTACAAATAATGATAGAAAAAAGAATGAAATCTTCATTAAATAGCTTTGCTTTTATAGCAAAGATTTTTTTCACTCTTCATCTTATTTTTGATGGATATCATCAATAAGAAATATCAACCTTTTTTGATTTATTTGCAAGATTTTAAGATGATTCTCATGTATATTTATTAAAATCATATCTATGCCAATATACAAAATATTCTAATATATTTTTGTATCACCTTGAATTTAAGACCTCTTTTATTTTAAGTTCTTAATATATGATTACTTTTATATTTTTTGAATTACTAAGAGACATACATTGAACAATCAAATATATAATTAAAAAAATAAAAACATAATTTTGAATACAAACCACAAACATCTTTATAGGAGCTAAATATTCTCATAAATTATATAGCTAATTCTAGCTCATACAAAAATCCAAATCATTAATAAATTAGAACTTGAGTCCACTTCATAAATTTATTTTTCATTTAAAAATAAATAAAATTTAATGTAACATAAAATTACATAAAAAAGAGTCTTATCAATTTGTATAGAAGGTAGAACAAATTATATAAGAACCTCTACAAATCTAATGTGTAATCATTCAAATCCTTCTTAATTTAATCTTAATTCTTAATTCAATCTTCAATTTAACCTATAGATTTTTTTTTTTTTTTTTTTTTTTTTTTTTTTTCCCTAAAACTCTTCCAATAAAAAGACCAAGCTTTTAATTTGTAGCAAAATCAATAACATTTGCTTTGGTCAATTCTGAAGATTATCATATTTTAATGCATCTTTGAATTATTTTTGTCATTGAGGTAAAAATTTATAATTTTAGTACAATTTTTTTAATGGTAGATAAAAGATCTTTATACATACTACAAAATTTTAAAAATTAAAAAAAAAAACATTTTTTTTATTTATTTATGTAACACCAATTTTTGATGGTAAAAAGACTTTAAAAAAAATTTGAGTCAATATAAGGATTATTAAGATATTTTTTTAAAAAAATTCTAAATATTCTTCCAAATTATTGTTCTTGTGATTGCTAAATTTATCTTTAAAAAAACTCAACCACCATTCGGACCAATTTATAGCTTATTACAAAATAAATTATGAATTTTTTTTAATCTTAAGTTTTTACGAATTTTTATTTATTATTATATATTTATTTATCAAAATATTATATTTTATACCATATAAATAAACTACTACAAGTAAATAAACAATTAAACTTTTTTTTGACAATATTTATTGCTATCATAGATTAGCAAGGAATATTATATTAAATTATAAGATTTAATTTTTATTAAGATATTGGAATTTTTTTTTCAAGATATTAAAGGATGACATAAAATTATCTTTAGCTTCTTATCTTTGAATAGATAAATAAAAAAATAGATGAATTAACTTTTAGAGTTGTATTTGAAATGTATTATCAACTATCATCAAGATGATTGAATAATTCTTCTATCATTGGAAAAGTTTTTTTTATAATAATATGATACATTCTTCTTCTTAATAAATATACTTTTATATTAATTATATTTATCATCTACAACTTGATACTTTTGACTTTTAAAAAATTAATAATCCTACAACAATAGATTTTCAAATTTTTTATTAGAGCTATATAGAACAATGAAGGTCCTTAAGAATGACATATTCTTTAAATAAATGATAATATGCAATGTATTTGGTATCACAACCTTAGAAGTGACTCTCAATGTTTGATAATATTATTAGAGGTAGAAACCACTTTTTATAGTATTTCAAATTTTTTATTTGAAGAAAGTTATGAAGGCATGAATAATGATCAAATTATAAAGTAATCTTTGCACCTCAATATAAGATATTGCCAATAGCTAAGAAGACCTATCAACTACCTTAAAAAATAACAATGATTAAAAGTATGTATCAAATATAATTTGTTGCATCTTAGACTCCCTCAATAAAAAATTATCATTCCTTCAAAAACTTGTATCTAAAAAAAGAAATAATGTTATGAACCTACATATTTATCTAGATTAAAGAAGTTAGATAAAATTAAATAGAAGTTTGTAAATTTGATATTATCTTATGGAAAAGTTTTATAGATACAAATATGATTTTTTTCATGTGTTTGTAAGTGATTGGTAGGTTAAAAACTTTTCTAATGACACAAGAATATGTTGATCATTTGGTTCTTTGTAATTCATGTCCTTGATATATATATATATATATATATATATAAATTTTAATTTTTAAAAAATTTAATAATTTAAACCTTAGAATTGATACCTACATGTGAATTATAATCATATCAAAAAAATGATTAAGAGTATGGTTTTGGATTTTTATTTTTTAAAATTATATTTTGATATGAACTATAAAGTTTTAAAATTTTCTACGTAACAAAATAATTGATTCTTGGACTTGTATAGAATCTAACCAACACATATTTAACCATTTAAAAATATGCATCATAGAATATTTTATTTTTATTTAAAGTATCTCATTACTTGTTAACTTCACAAAAAAAAATAAAGTACTAGACTTCGAAATATACTTCATTATCTTTCTTGAAGAGGCAAAATACTTAGTTCAATAATAAACTAAACATTCATACAACATTTTGAAACATCTAATTTTTAATTGAAAAGATTTACATCTTCTTTTTTATTCTTAGAAAGGAAACAATCGAGATGGAATACTTACTAGAAAACACAAAAGAATTCTACACAAACAAAAAAATAATGATCAATAAGGCAAGCCATGAAGCTTTTTGATGCTTTTTTTGATGGAACTATAAAATAGAGAGGAAGCAAACAAGGAGGGGTTGAAGGGAGTTGTAGGGGTGCTTTCCTAAGCCCCATTAAATTTAGGAATTCTATTTAAGCCCTATTAAATTTAGGGATCCTTTCTAAGTCCCACTAAATTTAGGGATTCTGTCTAAGCCCCACTAAATTTAGCGGAGGCAGGGAATCTGCGAAGCGGACAGAAGAGGGAGGGGAAGAGGAGCGGGGAATGGTGGGCGGCAGCGAGAGCGCGCATGCGCCAAGTGGAGCGCGAGGAAGCCCCATTTCGGGGAAGAGGAAGAAGCAGAAGAAGAAGCAGAATCCATGCTCCAATTCCGCAATCACTGCTCCATGCATCATTATCATCATCCTCTTCATCGTCGCCATCGTCATCGTGTTAGCACGCATCACAATTTTTCGTTCAATAGTGTCCTGGCGCGCACCCAGATCGCTAAAGAGCGTATTCAACCTCGTTTCGTCATGGGGCTGTGAGTCCAGTTTGAGCTGCGGGGGGACGCTGGTAATCGCACCGTGACTTCTGGGGTGACTTCTGGGCGTTTTTTTGTTTTTCAATAATACTTCTGGGTGTTTTTTTTTTTTTTTTTCCTTCTCTTTTTGTGTTGTTTTGAGTTTTTTTTTACTGTGAGGGTGATGGTGCCCTCGGAGGGAGCTGTGTGGTACTTACGCAAAGAGGTGATGGTGATGGCGGAGTGAAGTTTTCTGAGGAGCCGTTGGTCTCTCTTTCCATGACTCGACGAGAGTAGGGTGCGGCGCGAGCGGGGTGATTTCTCATGGTTTTGAGAAGCAGCAGGACTTTAGGGGAAGTGTGTGCGTGTGAAGCGCGCGAATCGCGTGGGAGTCTGCGGCGGTCGAGGCTGTAAGTGCGTTTGGTGTGTACGTGCGCGCTGGATGGTGTTGTTGAATGATAGATTCGTAAGGAAGTGCCGCGAGGGCGGCGCGTGAACAGTGGGGAGGAAGGCGATCTCAAAGACACCAGTCGCGCGTGACCAGTTGAATGAGCCTTTTTTGGGGAGAGGGGAGACTGCGAACGTGGGTTATGGACGATAGGAAGGTCATGGAAAACTACCAGGTGTGGTGGCCTTGGATGCGGGGCGGAAGGCAGGCCCCTTCATGAGCACGAGCCACGTCTTTGTGTGCTTTTGTTTTAATTGTAACTACAGAATCCGTACATTGTTGTTGCTGGGTCGAAGATTCGTGTAGTGTGCTATTCTTGATGTCTGGGTCAGTCTCTGCACGATGTTGAGAGCTTCTCGTTGGATTCTGGGGGTTGTTTGCAGCATTAATTGAATTGGGCTTTTGGCTGATCATTTGACCCCAGCTTGTTGTGGTTCTGCTCAGGATTCTAACGTTAACGGTGGTTCCGCTCCACCTGGAAAGAAATCCAGTCTATTAAGCACTTTCGGTGGGATTTTGATTGTTTTGGTAGCTCTGATGGGAGCCCAGCTGGCATCTCAAGGATGGGTGCCTCGGCCGGACTGGGAGAAGGAAAGCTATCCTGAAGCTAAAGACCTGGTGTTGATCCCCTTGTTTGCTGTGCTCTTTCCGACCGTGCGATACTTGTTCGACTCATTTTTCTTGGAGGTTGGCAATTATTTTACCAAGCTTGCTCATCATTTCGAAACACACCGACCGAATAAATTTATGATTATCATTTCATTTATAAGTTCTCTTGTATGCCTTTCAGTTTGTCCCCCCCCCCCCCCCCCCCAAAAGCACCTTTTCTCCTGAGTTGAGAATTTGTTGAAGTCGTTAGATAGCTTGAACATCGTCCTCAAGGCATTCTTAAGATCACAAGTTTTGACCGTGAAGATGAAATCACATGTGGTCCCAATCGTCAATTCGAGTGTGAGTGTCAAATTTGAGACAATTTATTGCATGAAATGCAGAAAGTTGGAAGGAAAGCTATATTGGGTGCAAAGACACCAGCCATAGTCACATTGACAGAAGATGTTGATGAGTACCAACGTAAGAAGTTTATCAAATTCAAGGAGTCCGCGTGGAAGGGGCTTTACTATCTCACTGCGGAAGTGTTTGCTTTAGCAGTGACTTACAATGAGCCCTGGTTCACTGAGAGCAAACAATTTTGGATAGGCCCAGGCGACCAACAATGGCCCAACCAGATGATGAGGTACCCGCGCGCTTCCTAGGTTTGCTCGCGTCCCGTTATTAAAAGAGAGTTAGTATGTTACTCTGTTTAAAGTATCACAGTCTGTTACTTGTTGCTAGAAAAGCATGCTTCTTGACGATACTTGACGAATTGTCTGATCTCTTGCTTGAATGGCTGTTTGACCAGGCTCAAGTTGAAGGTGCTCTACGGATTTGCTGGAGGGTTTTACACCTACAGTATCTTCGCCTTGATTTTTTGGGAGACCAGACGCAAAGATTTTGGTGTCAGCATGACACATCATGTTGCTGCTGTTGTCCTCATCATTTTTTCTTATCTCGCCAGGTATTTCGTCATCAACCTGAACACTAGGAGTTATTCATTTTGCAACCCTCCAATAATATATCTTACCTATGTTACAAGTTCTACTCTGCCGTTTAGGAACTCGGCATAGCTAGCCTACCATTGATAGTGCAATTGTATCATTTGGATTCTAGCATGTGCTGGAACACGTCAGTCTTCGTGAGAGGAAGAGAATTTTGTCCTCTAACTCATTTCACCATCAATTCATGTTGCAATCAATGCTGCGATCAGTGTTGATGGTGGGGGAGGGGGGTGCAATTATTTGAGATACATAGATCACGCTTTTTGTGATAATGTGTCGTTTAAACAGATTTGCCCGAGTAGGCTCAGTTGTACTCGCCATCCACGATGCCAGTGATGTGATCTTGGAATCTGCGAAATTGAGCAAGTACCTTGGGTCAGAGATTTTTGCAAGCATTTTTTTTTTGGTGTTTGCGTTGTCTTGGGTCATCTTGCGGCTCATCTACTTCCCCGCGTTCGTCATATGGAGCACCAGGTAACTTACTTTCAGACTTCTGTAACCCTCGCTACCTACTTCAGAAACGTTAGTATTACGTTATCAGCAAAAGCCTGATTAAACAGAGGAAACATATTTGTTTGAAACTTACGAAACCTCCAATGACATCTGAAGTTCTTGTAATGGACGAGTTCCACTAACACTACATCGGAAGTTCGACCTTGTGTTCGAGAACTTGTGTAAAGCTGTTTGAATGTTAAGTTTTTGAAGCGTTTTATTGGAAATTTTGGGGATGTAATTCGATTCTAAGTTGGTTGTCCCTGCTTTCTGGACAATGAAGCTATGAAGTATTGCAGCTTCTTGATCGAGAGACGAATCCGCAAGGCCCTGTTTTGTACTACATCTTCAATACCTTGTTGATCAGCTTATTCATTCTGCACATCTATTGGTGGGTGCTAATGTGGCGTATGATCTTGAAGCAAATTCAAGATTGGGGAAGAATCTCAGATGACATTCGCTCCGGTATGTTCATGTTTTCCGTATTTTTCGTCGTCTTTGTACATTGCTGCTCTGATGTGCGGTGTATCATCATACAATGTCAATTGAAAGATCGGCGTACAGGCACCCAAAGATAGGTCAAGTTTTTGTACTCCTGTCTGAGCAGAAAGCATATGCTAATTCTTTTATAGCCATGTCTAGAAGTTCCTGAATTCTCAGGTCTCACTTTGTAAATGCTGTGGTCTTCTTTCGGTGTTTCCCCTTTTTTCAGATTCAGAAGACGAAGATGATCCAAATAAGGAGGATTGATATCGAGCCAACCTAAATTATATTCATGCCGAATCGAATCTAGTGTAAGATTGAACCAGCGCATACGCCCTTGTTATGTACATTTTGTGAACTCCCTTGCGTGAGAAGAAAGAGGCCATACACATTTCAAAGTCTGTAGAATATGCGCTCTGCTGTTAGGTTCTCACAAAGAGCATCCTTGTTGTAAGAGTGATCACATGGTAAAGATAGATAGGACCAAGGACCTCATCCTTCTGCCCTAAAGCCTTGGGAGGTATGAGAGATCCTGTATTCTGGCACCAGAAATACGTGATAAGGAGTTCCATCGAGAATTGTAAATGTAGAACGATAAAAACCACTTCTAATTTATTTATTTGTGGATCAAACTTCCAGTGCTTTCTGTAGGTAGAAGAAAAAAGTTTGTTTTTTGTAACATGCACTCCACCTAATACTTCCTGCATCATCTACACGAAGAGACTTTTATTATTCATAGTTGTGTTTCATGGTTCTGTTCCTTACCACCCCCAAACAATCGACTCATCAAATTTTGCAAAATCGTTTTACAGCCCCATCTCAAAGACTTACTTTCCCATGTGCAAGAGATGATTCTTGAGCTTCAGGATGACCATAGCACCTATCGCAGGAAACTGGCTTAATTTAAGGATTGCTGCTTCCAAATCAAACCCACAGCTGCTCTTCAATCAGTCCAGTGTGGAAATCTGGTGCAGATATTAGATCTTGTTACTGTTTGTCGCACTGTCATCACACAACTATCCCCTTGCCCATGCGAATATTACAGACAGGCGTCTTCACAGGTTGGCTGCTCCCAGGCACAAAAACTTATTGGTCACACAAGATACCATTATACACAGCCACGTGAGCACCGCGTCGTTAATCTTTCAATATCCGTTTCACTTCATATTATATCAATATATGCCTAGTTTATTGACTTTCTACACGGTCTACTGGCACTAATACATGGGATTTGCCAGTGGAGAATGGGCCATGGGACAGGGTTAACAAAAGTGAAATGGATACTGTGAACAGGATGTGTGTGAAAATGACAAAAGAATGTGATTCTGTTTTTAGAAGTTGACGGAGTTTGTATTTTGTTGTCTACCATTATTTTAAAGCTGCTTTTGGGTTGCATTCAGATTCTCAATCTTAGGATGCTGTAGAATGTCAATGTGTGGCCCTAGTGGAGGTCCAATCCACTGATAGGAGATTGAGTTGCATGCATTATTTGAGGATTTCCTGGTTGACACGTTCATCACTTTTGACTTCCTGCATGGCTCAGAGCATAAGATATTGAACTTTTTGAGTTCTTTAAATGATGTACTTCAAATAATCAAAGGAAAACTTCGATTAAGTATTTTAATTTTCCACAGAATAAATGTTTCTTTGAAGGGATATCCTTTTAGTGATTCATTCAAAAAATAGATTTAGTCATTAATAATGAGGTTGGTTGCAAAATTAGCCACTGGATTGATTTTACAATTCCAAAATTTATATTTAAACAACCAACCAACGTTGTAAAAGTAACCGCTCCTATTCTTCCTTTCTAATTCATGAAAAATGAACTAGTAGAATCAAAGTCAAAAAGATTGTTTAGCATTTCATATTACAATTCTTTTGATTTTTAAGATTTTGTACACGTATTCAATATATATATATATATATATATATATATATTGCATAAAAATTTGCAGATATTAAATTCATGAAGACCTATTAAAAAATAATTTCAATTAATAAATTCAACATATATATATATAAGATCTAAGATGAATCTGATTTCTGTTCATAAACATGATTTCATCTAAATTTGGAACCTAACATTTAAAACACATATATATTGTATATATTTTAAAATTCAATGTTTTGATTTTTGTTTTTTTAATTTACTAATGAATTCCAGAAAAATTGTTTAGTATAAGTGACCAAATTACTCACTTCATGTCCTTCAAAATTTTTCTTCTACATTAAGATATGAATTACATTATGGAAAGTTTAATGCAAAAAGAAAATATGTTGCTAGTAAAGAAAAGAAAAAGATAAAAAGGAAATAAATAAATAAATAAATAAATGATTTGTGACTGGATTTTTCTAATTCAACTTACGGAATCAAATTTTAGATTAGTCTTGATATATGTATATTTACAAATATATATGCACAAAAAATTTAAATTAAATAAAAAGAAAACACTCTACAAAACATTCAAAGTATGTATTTAGCATACAGAAATATTTTAATATGAACTAATCAGGATCTCAAGGTTTATAAAGATTTTGATGATTTTAGTTAATCTTAGAACTCATATTTAAGGACTAACTCTATAGATATTTGTTGGAATAAGTCTTTGATCAACTAGTTTCCTTCTGATTGCCTCCTTCTTTTAATATAAATAATGATGAAATAATTTTTTTCATAAGAAAAGTTAGTTGTGTCTACATATCAAAATTCTAAAAATCCTATTGTAATCAATTATATAATCAGTAAATTTATTAAGTGCAAATATCTTGTTTTATGGAATATAATATATATTTGATAATTATATTTTTACAAATGTATATATATATATATATATATATCGATGCTTTTAATATTTTAAAAAATAAAATAATCTAAATTTAGGATATTCTAATGCCGCTCACTTTTTGCTACTATTACTACAACTTGCCATCCATTCAAAAAAATTGTATTATTTATTATTATTATTATTTTATAATTATTCAATTAATATGTCAATATATATATATATATCTATATATTAGAATAAAAAGAACTCAATAAAAATTTCAAGTGGGTGGTAAATTGTGGTAGCAATAGCAAAATTTGTAGTCACATTAGTAACATCCTAAATTTATGCAAATTTAATTCAAAAGATAAATTACTAAAGTATATATATTTTTACTTTCTTATTGAAAAAAAAATAAACATCAGTTGAAACTAACAAATGCACATGTGATTTGATATTTACCAATCATGCTTGCAATTGCCCCTAAAGTTTTTCTTTTTAAGATTTTATATTATAGTTTTATTTGGCTTTGATAATATATTCAATCTAATACTTGAAATTTATAATGATTCTATAATTATTCTAATAACTTCATAATAATTTTAAGACTATTGATACAAAGACGAAGGTTTTATTTTGTTATAATTTATTGTTACTTCTCACAACTTCAATATTTTTATTTGAATTATTATATTGCATTGTTTCATTTTTTTGATAAAATCCTTAAATAATAAGGTTTTATTGTAAGTCATATTTCTTTTAATATATAGTAAATAAAAAATATTTCAATAGATATTTTTTTAAAAAACATAAGAATATATAAGGTGATTTTTTAATTAAAAAAATTAAAATTCTTAATACTAAAAAATATTAATCTTAAATAAAAATCAAAAATATCAAATAGATATATTTTTTTATTTTGTAAAAAAATACTTAATTTTTTTTATATTCTAGAATATATATATGTATATACATAATTATCTTATATTTATTCATAAATCATATTACTATAAACATATATATTGACACAAAAATGGGATATATCTAATGAATTAATATAGTGGTAAAGTTTTATCAAGCTACTTAAATCTTTATATCTAAAGGCAAAATTAAGAGTACTAAAAGCATAATACAATTATTAAAGCTAACTCATTTATACTTTTGTATATGATCACACTATATTAACATATTTTAAATTTTTATTTTATTATTTTGTTATTTTGTTATTTAGAATCTAAAATGTATTTTTTGACCTTTGATTTATTCTATCTATTAAGTAGGAAAGTCTATATTTTGGATGTTTTATTAAAAATAATTTGACAAATTTTTAATGAGTTTGCCTACATTCAATTATACCTTTCCAATATGGGCTTTTGGTATGGAATTTCTTTATAATTTATTTTTAAAAACATATTTTTTCCTCTAAATTTAGATAGTATATAGAAAAAGGCCCCTTAACAAAAGAACAAATTTTACAAAAACATTTGAATCTAGAGAATAAAGTTTCAGCAAAAATAACTTACTTCTTAGTGAAGAATTTTTAAGATTCCATTTCAAAAAATTTGATATTAATTTACATAAAATAAAGGTAGCCTAATCCCAAATTTTTCAAGCTTTATGATATTTCCAAAACCAATAGATAATGAATTTCAGCTTTTGGAGGTGACACAAAGCATAGTAAATATCAATATCAGAATTAATTTTTCCTCTCTAAGTATTAATTGCCACACTTTTTTGCCATGTAAGCCAAATGAAAATAACCTCTTTAAAAAAAAATAATGATTGGACCAAATATCATTCCAATTTAACAAGAAGTCTTGACCAAGAAGAAATTTTACTTTGTATGCTACTAACTTAGCAATAGAAATATTGCTTTGAAGTAGCTTTCTATCAAGTGTATAAAAATAAGTGAAGAATTCTTTTCTAGTAATCTATAAATATGATAGAAGATCAAAATCAATTTATTAATTAAACTATAAAAGAAATTAATACCAAATGGATATTTTTTGTTGGTTTTATTTTTGTAATAATATTAATTATTTCAAAAAATATGCTACTTATTTCTTATTATCTACTAAATTTTGATTGTCTTCAAAAAAATGGTACTTAATTTTTATTATCAACTAAATAAAGGTTTTTCTTTAAAATAGAAATTTCTAGATTAAACAATAACTCTATTTTATTTTATTTTAGTTGATCAAGGTAAGACAAATGATTTTTTTCTTTAATACCAAATCATCCACTTGAGAATTAGAATATTATTTATATTAGATGATTTGACCTTAATTTATATAAGTGTCAAGGACAAGAACTCGATGAAAGCTAAAGAGTAAGTGAGACTTTTCTCAAAAAGAAATAGGACAAAATAGAAATATGTATATTAAGAAAGAAACTGGAATGGCTATTGCCAAAATACAAGAAAACTAGAGACCCTTGAAACTAGACTAGAAGCAAGAAAGGAGTTGACAAGAGTGAAGAAGCCTTCACTCTTGTCTCTATATATACTATCTAACTAGGGGCTACGTGGCGACGTTCTATAGGACCTCCAATATGTGTTGACTTTGTAGGACACATGCCTTGACTTACAAGGCAAGTTTTCCTACGTGTGGGCCACATAATTAGCTTGATCTTCAAGCTAACAACATGTGTGGCACTGGGCCAACTTGTTGACCACGTTTCTAATCCAAAAAGTCAATTAAAGACACCTATGAAGTCAAAGCAGCGTCTAGGAAGTTTCTAGGAAGCTTCTATATTAAATATTTTACAATTAACTTACTTTTATCTACTTTTACTTACTTCTACTTATTTCTATATGTAATTATTAGCTTATATGATTATAGCCGTGACAATAAGTCAACTCAATCATT